ACTTCGGATGGCTACCGTATGCTTTAATGCGAGTGTATGCTAGATATGCTGAGACAGCAGTCTGTCAATCTTTCCACAAGGGACTGTGATAAACATTCTGTATGTTTTTCGTTGGCACAGAAGCGGAGCAAAGATAGGGTGACTTGTTTGCTATGAAGCTGAAACTAAGACTACCAGACTACCACATAAATTAATTATGTGACAGGACTGAGAGCTTCCCTTTAACCATGCATAGACATATTGAAAGCATTTATTTACACATTTCATAAATGGGCTTGACTCCCAGGTGGACCCAGTGGGTACCAGGTGCAATCCTGGGAAGTAAAGGTGGCCGGCGGAATGCTGATCATATCCCCCATCAAGTGCTGAGTGGTCTATATAATGTAGGTCTAGCCCCATATACCCAATAGCCCAAAGGCGTGGAAAAGGGTCCTTTACTTTACTTACTTTCATATTATTTTTACTTTAGGTGTTTACTGATTTCTTTTTTTTTACTTTAAATATTTTACTTTGCTTTGCTTTACTAAAAACTTTACTTTATGTGTTACTTTAATGGCGTAATGAACTAAACTTTACTTTACTTTACTATACTTTACTTTACTTTACTTTACTTTACTTTACTTTACTTTACTTTACTTTATTTACTTTCAAATGTATTACTTTTTTTTTAAATAATCAAGCCTGAATACAATTTAATTGCTATAATATAAAATGTATAAACAAGCCACTCTAATTTAGCACACAAGGTCCACAAGCCACTCTGTCATACCCAAGTCCACAAGCCACTCTATCACATTCAAGTCCACAAGCCACTCTTTCACAACCAAGTCCACAAGCCACTCTATCACAACTCAAGTCCACAAGCCACTCTATCACAACTAAGTCCACAAGCCACTCTATCACATTCAAGTCCACAGGCTACTCTATCACAACCAAGTCCACAAGCCACTCTATCACACCCAAGTCCACAAGCCACTCTATCACACCAAGTCCACAAGCCAATCTATCACACCAAAGTCCACAAGCCACTCTATCACACCCAAGTCCACAAGCCACTCTATCACACCCAAGTCCACAAGCCACTCTATCACACCCAAGTCCACAAGCCACTCTATCACACTCAAGTCCACAAGCCACTCTATCACACACAAGTCCATAAGCCACACTATCACGCACAAGTCCACAAGCCAATCTATCACATTCAAGTCCACAGGCTACTCTATCACAACCAAGTCCACAAGCCACTCTATCACAACCATGTCCACAAGCCACTCTATCACAACCAAGTCCACAAGCCACTCTATCACACCCAAGTCCACATGCCACTCTATCACACCCAAGTCCACAAGCCACTCTATCACACTCAAGTCCACAAGCCGCTCTATCACACCCAAGTCCACAAGCCACTCTATCACACCTAAGTCCACAAGCCACTCTATCACACTCAAGTCCACAAGCCACACTATCACACCCAAGTCCACAAGCCACTCTATCACACCCAAGTCCACAAGCCACTCTATCACACCCAAGTCCACAGGCTACTCTATCACCCAATGTACAAAAGCCACTCTATCACACCCAAGTCTACAAGCCAATCTATCACACTCAAGTCCACAAGTCACTCTATCACACCCAAGTCCACAGGTTACTCTATCACCCAATGTACAAAAGCCACTCTATCACACCCAAGTACACAGGCTACTCTATCACACCCAAGTCCACAAGCCACTCTATAACACCCAAGTCCACAAGCTACTCTATCACACCCGTCCACAGGCTACTCTAACACACCCAAGTTCACAAGCCACTCTAACACACCCAGGTCCACATGCCACTCTATCACACCCAAGTCACACGCCACTCTATCACACCCGTCCACAAGCCACTCTAACACACCCAAGTTCACAAGCCACTCTAACACACCCAAGTCCACATGCCACTCTATCACACCCAAGTCCACAAGCCACTCTATCACACTCAAGTCCACAAGCCACTCTATCACACCCAAGCCCACAAGCCACTCTATCACACCCAAGTCCACAAGCCAATCTGTCACCTTAAGTACAAAAGCCACTAAGGCAGTGGATCTCAACCCTTCTAAAGCCGCGACCCTTTAATAAAGCTTCCTCGTGTTGTGGCGACCCTAGACAATTATGTTCCTTTATAATGTTAATAAATAAATGTTTTCTGATGGCCTTACGCGACCCATGAGAAAGGGTCGTTTGACCCCTAAAAAAATGGCTGCGACCCGCAAGTTGGAAACCGCTGAGTTAGATCAAACTAAAGCCTGTATTTCGAATCGCACGTATCATCACATTCATCGTAACTGTTAATAAATAACAACGCTGTGTTTGTATAAATCGGTCCACACTTTTATATTTATTCAAAAATAAATTCTCAGAAGATAATAACAACAATATACCAAACAGCCAAGCTGGCATATTGTTGCAAATAGAAACCGGGTCACAAGATGGCGATCAGGTAACATAGCAATGACGTCATCAGTATGGCGCCCGCTGTCACGTGGTTAGATGGTGCAGAGTTTTCGGGCGCAGTAAGGCTATCGGATCTGAATCAGAGAATAAATAGATTGGGTTCATTACGCGTTGATGCAGATTAACTCTTTAGTGACTGAATAAACTGACCCGTTGCAAACAACCTGGCAAACTTTAACTCATGCGGTAAATTGCAGTTACAATTGCGCAGTTTTTACGATCTCTTGGATCGTCGCCGGTGCTTCGGTGTGCGTGCTGTGCGCTTCACTCTCGAGCAGGCGGCTGGCCGTACTGCGCAGAGAGACTGAGCCAAATGGGATAAAACCAGGTACAATGAAGTCAAGTCCTTTCGACTTTAACCTGTAACCAATTTCATATCAAACGGCTCACTCCATAGTTGCTCCGTTTCTGTGGCAATGAAAATCATACAGAATGTCCATCGCTGTGTTTTGGAAAACAGGGTCACATAGGCAAGGCTAGCGGCATACACACACAATTAAATACACAAGGCAGCCGTCAGGAGGGCCAACATAAACAGTCTGCCACCAGACATGCATTTTATTATCGACGAAAGCAGCCAGAACACAGATCAGTAGTTGCATACGCAACTAATCGCATAAGGCACTATGAGTTCTCAGGCGCCAAGCTAGTAGTTATTTTCCTAATCTGCAGTTCACAATGGGACCCTGGCGTTTGTTTGTACGCCTGCTTGGATATCTCTCCACTGTTTTCTTGGTCTGCCTTAAGCTCTACTCCTATTCAGTTGTCTGACATTCTGTCTATACACCCTAACCATGCCAGTCTATTAGCCCTCATGATGCCAATGATCAGTGCTGATTTAAACAGATGACGGATTCATCGTTGCTTCTCACTTTCCATTCCCTGCCGCTTGCATCTTTCATGGGTCCACAGTTTCACCGTAGAACTCTCTTTTCAAGAAGTTATAATAACGCGTCGTCTCTTTTAGCTGTCCTCTGGGTTTCAAAGCCGAGTGAGACAACTGGTCTTAACAGCGTTTTATATTTTGTGATCTTGAGTTGAGTTAAGAATTTATATCGCAGCACTGGCGGTATTCCTATGCGGGCTCCGTCCTCATCTTCAGCAGCGAGAACAGAGTTCCAATACTGATGGAACAATCCTTTTTTTTTTTTTATTTGTCTGTCTTGCCTTTCCTCTGAGTGTAGTGAGCCGGCCAGACCCTTCGCTTACACCCAGGTGCCTCCAGGCCATAATAATCTTCTTTCTCTACTGATTGCGTTGCTTTTCCCAAAGAGCCTTGACTACATCTGCTTTGTCATGTATCAGTTCACCACCCAGTGTTGCAGATCCAGCCAATCTGTTTGTCTGCTCATTTCCCACCACGCCGACTTAGCCTGATGAAAAGATCCAAAGTATGCTCACTACCCGTGACCTTTCCAGTGAAGCTTGCCACTCTGCTCAAAGCATCGCTGTCTTCACCTTTCTCAGCATGCTTTTAGAGTCTGTTACAATTACGACATGTGTATGCATCTTGTTCTCTAGCCACCGGAGAGCTGCAGTTACCGCCTCTACCTCCATTCTCATGCTAAATATTGTGCTGTCGTATGCTAGGCAGTCTTGCACTAAAGATTTTATTTTGGCTTTCGCTAAAAGTTATAATAATACGATATCTCTTTTAGCTGTCCTCTGGGTTTCAGAGCCGTTTGAAACAACTGGGTTCTATCCTAATGAGTCTCACAAACAGTTGAATATTTTAGGGATAGTAGATAGGCTGCATGCAGTCGTGGGACCTAGGCTGCACTTTCTTGTGGGACATAGGTGGGTTGGGGTAGGCCTCAGAGGGGGCTGCATGGTCTCAAGGCGTGGTGTTTGCCTCGAGTGCTGGAGGTTCCGGATTCAATCCCCGGTAAGGGCTGGGATTTTTTTCACATGGACTTAGACTTCTAGTAATTTCCCCTGGTCTCTGGGTAGTTAGATCGGACGCCTGTGTACATTGTTGCGCACGTAAACAATCCCTGGGCAGTTGAAAATCGAAAAGAGTAGCCTAAAGGTGCTGCCCGGGCAAATTTTGGAGTTAAAAATCTATACAAAGTATCTTAGGATCCTTGCCGGTGCTACAGAGCCTGTGCACTGTGCTGAGCTTCTTTGGACTCAGACTTGAGTAAGAAGAGGATCGGAGCAGTTATGGGTTACTACCCGTGCGCTATGATGCTGATCCGTTGTTCAAAACCTCAAACCTAAATCAGAAATTAATGTAAGAGCCAGTTGGGGGGAATAAAGTAGGTCAGTACGATGGAAGACGTGTGGTACTTACACGGAACAAGTGTAGTTTGGGGGGAAATAAAGTAGGTCAGTACGATGGAAGACGTGTGGTACTTACACGGAACAAGTGTAGTTTGGGGGGGGGGGGGGGAATAAAGTAGGTCAGTACGGGGGGTATGATGAGAAGACGTGTGGTACTTACACGGAACAAGTGTTGTTTGGGGGGAAATAAAGTAGGTCAGCACGATGGAAGACGCCTGGTACTTACACGAAGCAAGTGTTGCAGGACCTCTGGCACTGTTTCAGCATGTACCTCGGGTTAATGTTGCAGTGATCATTCTCCGCCCAGATGCCGCACAGGGCGTTGGTGTCCCGGCAGCCTGTTTTGGAAAGGAGAGAAACAGTATGGTTAAACGTGTTGTAGATGGCTATTAGGGCATTTATGGGAGATTTATCATATCGCAGTCAGTGAAGCAGCAGCAGGTTCTGTCACGACTCCTCGCTATGTTTCATCATCATCATCAGTTTTTGGGAAGAAGAAAATAGTCGCGTTAAACCAGCATTCCCGAAGGGGGAGCTTCAGGTTATAATTAGGGAAAATGCAAGGAATTGTGTAGAGCAGTGTTTTCCAAACTGTGCGCAGCGGCGCCCCGGGGAGCTGCGACCTCCTCACAGGGGCGCTGCGAAATATTGTAAAAGCTTCATAATTTATTTAACCAAGACACGAATAGTCAAACTTTTACTTAGGTTAGGGCGCCGTGGAAAAATTTTAATTGCAAAAAGGCGCCGCGACCAAGACCAGTTTTGGAAACACTGGTGTAGAGATCAGGTTAGTTGCGTATCCTTCACAGGACGTTGCAGAACCAACCCCAACAGCCCCTGGTTGTTGTGTGGTTTTTCTAGTAGTTTGCTATTGCTTTCTGGACAGTCGGCTTTCTTGATACCACTGTCGAAACCAACGCAAGGAGCATGGCCCGCAGCGGTTTAGAAAACTAACAGTAAACATCCACAAGACCCCTATCAGCAGACTCAACAGAAAGCAACATACAACAATTTTTCGTCTACGAACAGGACACTGCAGGCTCAACTAACACAGGCATAAAATAAAGATTGTACAGTCCCCACAGTGTGCCTGTCAAACAGGACAACAAACACCCGAGCACATTCTGCAGACCTGCCCACTCTACCTATAACTTCGAAAAGACACCTGGCCTCAAGAGCAAAGTGTGCAGAGCAAGCTATGGGGAGACTTAAAGGACCTGCAGCTGACATGCGAGTTCATAGAGCAACCCACTTGATGGTCTGATCTGAGCATACGAAACCGAACGCAAAGAAGAAGAAAAAGAGGTTATAATTGTGACTAGGTTATGTGCGCCTTAGCATTGCACGCCAACAAGAGACATGAAAAGTACTCGTGCAGTGTAGATGCGATCATATGAGACAACCCAAATACTGTCCTGTCCGGTGACGAAGTCGTCTACTGGCCAGCCAATGGGCAACACAGTCGCTGATCAGTGACCCTGGTAATGTCATCACGCCAGTTGGGTACACAGTTGTTGCCCCCTCTTGTATTGACCAAATGACACTGCATATGTCTTATGGTCAATATGAGCCGACCGCCTTTGCTCCCCATAACATCTACTTATGCCTGTTGTACGGTGGATCCACACGAGGTCCTAATACAGGTGCCTTCTTCACAATGAAGGTTGGCTGCAGTAAATACTAAGTGTCATCAGAACCGGATTTAGACTTGTTGTGGCCCTAAGCTGCTTAAAGCTCTGAGGCCCCTATCGTTTTAAATAATACCAGCTGATCTCAGACAACTTTAAAATATGCAATCTTTTTAAATATGTGGATAATGAAAATGTATTCAACGGGGGCAATAGAAAAGACGCACACAAACACAACCGACCGTTTCGTCTTAAGTCTTCATCAGCGGAGTACTAAACACAGCACAAACTGTGGCGGGAAAACTGAACAAAGAAGACAACAGAGCTAATAAAAAACCAAGGTCAACAACACACCAAGATGTACGTAACTGGGGGGGGGGGGGGGGGGGGGGGGGGGTACAATATGAAAATGAAAGGCTATAATACGAAACGAAATGAGTAAAAATGCGTATGAAAAAAAAAGGATGAGAGATATGAATAATTTTAATAAATAAACAAGAAAAAACAAAATAAAGCTAAGTTGAATATTAATCCCCCCGGACCAAGAACGTGAAAACTATGGATAAAACGATGTTTTGAACTATGTAGAGAGTCTGTTTCAAGGAACGAACGAACGAACTTTATTTTCAAACGGTCACGAATTAAGCACGCAGGCCCGTCTTACATTCGGCCTTTCAAAATACCTATCTTGTAGACAGCAGTTGTATTTTATAATTAAAGCATGTTATGTTCATGTTATAATATGCATATTATGGATATCAAGTCAAAAACAAAAGCATACGTGGTAAAATGCATGCTCGTGCCCGCACACACACACACATACACACACGCAAAACCATTCACTCACACACAGATAGGCACTTAATACACACATACATTAACAAACATTCACATACATACATACATACATACATACATACATACATACATACATACATACATACATACATACATACATACATACATACATACATACATACATACATGCATGCATGCATGCATGCATATACATATATATACATACATACACACATTATATATACACACACACTCTCATACACACAGTCATACACTCAAACACACACACTAAAACACACACTCTAAGACACACACGCAAACAACCTAGACACATACACACACGCAGCAGCACAAAAAAAGACACCTACAAACACACGCACAGACATAAACCTACACAGACACACATACGCAGTCACAGGCACACACAGAGACACACATACGCACAAACAGAGACACACACAGACATTAAGATGATCGCGGAGAGGTGTAGGCAGGGCTAGACCAGTGTGAGCACTGGTTCTGGTGTGTCACTACGTGTGGTCCAGCATCGCTCTGTGACAGACAACACTTTGGACTCACCGTTACAGTTGTTGCAGGACTTCTTGCAGCGTGTTAGCGTGAAGCTAGGCTCGTTGTTACAGCCGCCTTTCGCGACACGGGAAGCGCAGCTGGAGTCTGTGTCCTGGCAACCACCTGTACAACAGAAGGGGGCAGCAGACGTGATACAAGGGCCTCTGTCTGTCTTTCTGTACTTCTGTCTGTCAATCAGTCTTTCTATCCATCTGTCTGTCTTTTTTACAACATAAATTACTTTGGTACTGGTAGCAACTACTGAACTTTATAAGTAGACAAAAAATCAAATGGTTTGGCCATTTAACAAGATTGGCAGCAGACAGGGTACCACATATGAAGTTAGATGGGGAGAATATGGAGAGAGCTCCATGCAATGGCGAAGGATAGAACGACTTGGCGTGAGTTGGTTGAGGGCCTATGCTCCATTGGGGGATAGAAAGGCAGAACAAGAATAAGGATACCACCGAGAGCAATGTTATACACATAAGCGGTTAATAGAGCCGGAAGAAGACCGCACAGAATATGGACCGTAGAAATATCACAGACGCTGAAAAGTACTTTATACGAAGCGAATTGAAAGGCCCGGTCTAGAGATCTCATTTTGCCGGGAGGGATTTCAGGGTAGAAAAACGAAGAAGAAAAACACTGTTGGTATGAATATGCTGTTCATAATCTGTTTTTTGGCGGTCATACTTATGTTTGGATGTCTTAATAACGGTGTCAGTTGATATATATATATAAGAGCACTGGTTCGTTGGTTTCTTGTTTCTATTCTCCCGTCCTCCGAAAATATACCTCCAAGATATTAAAATTCTTTAGCTTGCTTCAGAGATTTCCCGAGCATGCTGATACTAACCGTAAGACGTACTATCACGTACAACGGGATGGTTGCTTCACATGCCATTCATATAGGGTGTATTATTACCAGAGAAAAAGACGTTCATCGTTGGTGCGTGAGATTATATTGTTTGTTGGGCTATAATGGGATCTGTTGCTGGTGAATAAAAACAGTAGGGTGTGCCCATAGCAATTAGAGCCCTTGAGATTCATTGCTGCAGATTTCACCTACCCGTCCCCCCCCCTTTTTTTTTTTCCTTTTCATCTTGTCTTCTCTGTCCATTTGATTTGACTCCTAAGTTTATCCCCGTGTGGGTTCCGGGGCCCTATTATAGGGAAAACAGGAATAGACCCACTGCCTACCCAAAAGCATGTCGTAAGAGTCGACTAATTCGGAGCTTCCTTCGAAGTCGGAGTGCATCTGCCTGAGAGGCAAGGAACCAGCAGTTTGCATACAAATGAGTCATATCTGTAAAACGGATGCACACGTAACACTCAGGTTCTGGAACAGGACTGCAGTCCAGAAGTGAATAAACAACCAGAACTTTCCGCCAAAGTTTACAGCTGGTGAAGGCGAAGAATAAGACTCCTAAGTATTTGTATTTTGCCTGTAAATAACCTCCATACTGTTTTATTTGTGTGCCACCTGATCTACACTCGGCCTAAAAAATGTTTACCAGATAAGTTTGACTGTTGTTGGGGAATCGATACTGCAAAACGAACACTTGATATGAAAAAGTGATTTATATGAACATCTAAACAGAACTGGGCAGGTTACCAAGGCTTCTCGCTAAACAGACCCCAAGAACACGTCTTACCAGACTTTCCTCTCTTGGAGGAGCTGCGAATCAACATGTGGCCACACCCAGTAGACCTGACAACCAACTAAGCTTCGGGAAACCTGAGGGACCTCGACTTATATCCCACTGTATAACCTACAGGAGATGAAGCGCAGGACCAGAAATCGCTGAAGAAGAAGTTTGAACAGGAAAAGCAAAGAGGCTAAAATTTACACCCCCCCCCCCCCCCAACCCCCCCCCCCCCCCCCCCCCCGCCCCCATCCAACGTCGCACTAGCGACGCAACAGTGTTAATTTGATATTTCCAAAGTCCCACTAAAATAACCAACATTGGACCTACCTGTAATGACACCCGTCCCCTTTGTGGTGCCGGTACCGCTGCACACCTTACAGGCGAGGGCACAGTTGGCTTTCATCCAGCCCGGGTTGATGTTGCAGTGACCGTGGCGGGCCCAGATGTCGCACTCTGTGTCGGACTTGTGCCGGTTAAGACAGGGAGCTGGGGACGATTAAATATATCACCATCTTAGAGCAGGGCACAATCGACTTCGCAACCACATGTACACAAAACTTAAGATTGGCGAATCAGCCATGTGGACTAGCACCTGAGACAACAGATCACATTCTCCAAGACTGTCCCAGATACATTTCCAGACAAAACTTCTGGCCAAGAGAAACACTGATGGAAGGCAAACTGTAAGGGACGCTAAGTGAATTACAAAAGTCAGTTAAGTTCATACCAGGGACAGCATTGCAGATATACAAAACAATGTTTTCCGTAATGAATTTAAATAATGCGGACACAAACAATACATTGCACAATTTATTGCCAGGCATATTTCACTATATCTCGTCAGATGCGTTACTACAGAGTTACACCAACATAAAATGAAGCACAAAACTGAATAAATCCAACTAAAATGCGAATAGTTTCTTTCGACACATCGTGTGTGTTATTTGGCCGCCGGAAGCTCACCGTAGTCACGTGACTTACCATGGTAACTACAAATTTACTATAAATTCCGTCTGCTTACAAGGAGGGAGTTGTTGATTTTAATTGTTAAAGCTTCGGCGATTCTCAACACTCTCCTGTTCGGGGTGTGGTAAACCACTCGGAAAGCAGTGTCTGTGCCAATTACGTGTCCGGAATAAATTATGCAATGTATTGTGTGTGACTGCATTATTTAAATTGCAGATATAGATAATTTATTTTAAGCAAACGAAAGGAGAAGAATACCACCACATTTTGTGAGTCCTGCATCTTTTTAGGAAGGTGGTCTCCAACATGTAGGGCCCGCCCACTACGGGGGGTAAGAAAGTTTCGTGGAAAGGGGGGGGGCAGCATCAAGCAGTTGTGAAATTGAGTCCATTTCTACTGTTAATAATCCAGATTTAACAGACATGAAAACAATACAGCACTGCTTGCTTGATGTGGAGAGTAAAGCTTTTTTGCTTTCTGCAACATCAGGCACCCCCCCCCCCCTCTCCAAAAAACCCATTAGATATCACCATGACAAGACAGTGTCAACACTTTGAGTTAGGTGATTGTTTTTCTCCAAAATGTAAAGATTTTTGTCTTCCGTTTTTTTTTTTTTTTTTCAATCTTTTTAACATTTTTGGATGGGAGGTTTTGTCATATATTTAAGGTAGGTGCCACCTGAGAAAAGTTTGGAGAACTGCTTTGGAAAAAAAGATGCAGATAGAGAGATATAGTATATTATATCTTTCTTCGTTTATTTTTTCTGCCTTTGCTTCTTAAACACTTTGGGTACTTTATCACCGACCAGACTGAATTGCCAAAACAGTTTCATTTAAACTCCTAGGGGATTGAACTGCTCACACAGTTTTATCCCCCCCCCCCCCATTATGGTCCCTAGTACTCCACAGGGGGTATTTATTTTATGGGGCATGCCCGGCTCTCTAGCGTAGTTGGCTAAGCCGCATTGCACAGTGACCGGGTGACGAACTCCTTGTGGTCGGCTTCACTCCCGGGGGTAGGCAGAAAAGCCACATTTCTCCCAGATTTACGGTATTTACAAGGGAATCAACGCCGTAATATCAAGCCTTAGGATTAACAACTCATGGCTTCTGGATACTAAAATAAACAAACAAACAGACATTTTATGGGGCACAGGATATAAGTGAATCCATTAGTATGAAATTACACGAGGCGGGAGAGCTGGCGAGAGACCGAGTTTCTTTTAGGCAGACTGTGATGAGAGCGACGTTCTCCAAGAGACTTGCTACATGATGAGGATGAATGTTGTATGTACGAAATAGTCACTCATTCCGAAACAAATATGGAAAGGTGCCAACTAAACGACAAGTAGAAGCTTCACATTATTACAAAGACAAGTGAATGTTGTGGTTTGAAAACATTCGCCAGCACATTAAATGAATATACAGCACCAGCAATACGAAGAAATATAACTTGAATGAAGTATCTCTGAAAGAAATCAATATGTCTGGGCAGTTGAATCGCTGACACGCGTGTGAACACAGGAAGCAAAACAAAAGGAAAATTGTGGTAAATTTTCATGAACTTGTGTGTGAGGTAGACCACGCAGAATATGGACACTGAAAAGTACTGAATACGAACAAAAGGGGCCCGCTCCAGAGATCTCTTCCTGTCCTGACGCTGCGATTCCAGGAGTTGAGAAAAGAAGAAGATCTGAGATGTATGGACTTTTTTGTTTATTTGTTTGGCAGTTGATAGCAGCACCAGTAGTAACTGGGTTCAGAGAGTTTAAGCTTGATCAAGTGGAAAAATATAGATTAGTTTACAAAGTTGCGTGACTGCCGAGCGGCAGCTGTCGATCACATGGGGATAGCTTGTTATTTACCTACAGAGACCGAAAGTATTTCTCTAGTATTGCCCTAGATCTAAACACGAGTGCAGATTAGCTAATAAACAGAATCTAGTCTCGGAAGCAGTGTCTCCAAAACTAAAACCATGGTGATCTCAAGAGAGGAGAAGAAACACCAGATCATGATGGGACAGTATGCGTTGGACCAGTTCAGATACCTTGGAGTTGTATTAGACCAAAATGGAGGCATTAGGACTGAGCTGGCTACACGAAAAGCAGCTGCTGGGAGACTCTTCCAGGCCATAAACCGAGGGTTTCTTAGCAAAAGAGAAATTGGCAAGAGGACGAAAATGGCTGTTTACCGCTCTACCTATGTACCAGTCCTGACCTATGGGTGTGAGTCATGGGCAATGACAACAGCTCACAGAAGCCAGCTGCAGGCCTCGGAAATGAGATACCTGAGAAAGGTGGTCCAAGTGACAAGAAGGGACAAAGTCCGCAATCAGACAATACGTCAAAATCTTGATACCCAGCCCTTAGTAACCCGAGTAGATCAGTCACAGTTACGATGGTTTGGACATGTATGCAGAATGGGAGAAAATCGGCAAGCATGGGAGGCTAAGAACCAGGGAACCAGACCTCCGGGACGACCCAGGGTGCGCTGGGAAGACAACATCCGACAGTCCCTAACTGACAGAGGACTGGAATGGAACAAAGCCAGAAAGAAAACTGCTGATAGAGACGTCTGGCGATCTCTCTGGCAAACCTCTACACCCCAAGGTAGAAGAGGAGCGACTAAGTAAGTTAGTAAGTAGTCTCGGAAGCTGAAATATTTTGGTTATATCAAGCGCCACGGCGGATTGGAGAAAATAATAGTGGTACCAGGAAGGAGAGGCAGGGGCCGACCAACACAAAGATGGGCACCAGTGTTGCTCTAGACATGCAATGTATGGTTAGATATAACATAAATCAACAACACAAGTACTCACCACTTGTGACTGGAGAACTGGATGTTGAATATTTCCCTGGCTTGGCTGTGGTTGGCCGCGAGGATGGATCTGTGCCCACGCAGATGCCTCGACCACACGCCTTGGAGCAGTGTTTGCCCATCCATTCCGTGTTTGTGAGACATTCCAACTTCTGCGCCCAGATCTCGCACTGTACGTCGTCGTAGAGATTCTTGCATTTACCTGCATCGACAGTTAAAAAAGAATCAAGTCCTATCCTGGCTTCTGTCGGGGACCCTGAATATAGCCGGGGCATAAATACTTCCTAGCCATAGATACGGCGTAACGGCTGAAAGGGCTTTCCGGGACCTCTCCACAGGCGATCCTCATCCGCATGGTGGCACTTTGTGTCACCGGGTGTTTATCACTTGTGTGATGTCTTGGTGGAGTACAACTACTTATCTACCTGCATTAACAGTTCATAGACCCGGCTCGCTAGCGTAGCTGGTTATACCGGACTGCGCGGTGATCAGGTGATGACTCCTTGTGGTCCGGGTTCAAGCCCGGGGGTAGGCAGAAAGCCACATTTCTCCCAGATTTAGGGTACCTATCATGGAATCAAGGCCGAAGGGTTGCGATATCCATAGTACCGAGCCAAAGGGTTAACAACTCATTGTTTCTGGATACTTTTAAAAAAAAAAAAAAGTTCATAGAAGGTGAATAAATGTATGGATGACTGAATGATGAACGAATTGGTAAATGAATGATTGTGTGAATGAATGCTCAGTGAGAGAATGGGTGAATGGATGGATCGTTGAATGAATGAGTACATCAGAATATGGAAGGATAGCTGATGTTTGGTGGATGTTTTCCCTGATAAGGCATTTATACGCTGCCGACATTTTCATGGACTACTTGAGTTGGTTAAGTGTGTTTGTTCCATGGGGAGATAAAAGTCCTTTTCCGGTCCAGTACGACGAATAGACGAGTCGATTATGTTTAGTCGTGGCAGGTTATTTTCTTTTGGCGATAATTAGTCGTTGTATTTTCCCTGTATTTGGACTGCAAGTACGTGGTTCCGTCGCCCAGCTACTGAGGCTATTGAGCATTTTCAGGGCTACTTTGTGGCAAACAATGCTAAGCCATTTTTTGGGCGCACATTACCAAGTCACAATTATAACCAAAACCTCGCCCTTTGGGGATGCTGGTTTATCGTGAAGGTTTTTTTTTTCTCCGCAAAGCAAGTCAAGAGGATTATGCAGGAAATTTAAAACGAATAATAAACCAACACAGAACTAGTGTTGTCAGCTGCTACACGCTGCGGGAGTCACTGAAGAGGGGATCCGAGCACTTATGGACTGAAAGGTTCTTCTTCTTCTTCTTCGCGTTCACCGGCTGTTAACTCCGGCGGAAAGTTTTGGTTGTTCGTCCACTTCTGGTCTGCAGACCTGTATTAAAAACTGAGTGTTGCGTGTGCATCCGTTTGACAGATCCGACTCATTTGCGTGCAGACTGTTTTTTCCTTGCCTCTCAGACTTCGAAGGAAGCTAAGAATCAGTCGACTCTTACCACATGCTTATGGGTAGGCAGTGAGTCTGTTCTTGTTTTCCCTTTAAAAGGACCACGGAAGCCACACGGGGAAAGGAAAGGTTCAATATAAAAAAAGTTAAGATCCCTTTTCACGCCTTAGGGGAATCAAGCATATGGAAAGAGCATCCCATATTTTTACAGACCAATCGGCACTAGGTGGGTAATGTGGTCAGCATTACGCCAGCCGTCTTTACTTCCCTATGACATACATCCTGGTTCCCATTTTAGGCTGGTTCGACCTGCGACGCCCCATAAAAGTAAAGTAAAGTAAAGATCCCTTTTCACGCCTTTCGGCGCATCGGGCATATGGGCAGAGCGTCCCATATTTTTACAGACCATCAGCACTCTGTGGCGACGCCCCATACCATGATAAAAATCCACGCAGCCAACAGTGGGTTTAGATCACGGTATGTTGGAATTACGAGTCAAACTCGCAACGCCTAAGCCATGGACGCCGCAAGGTTCCATGTGCAGCGAGGATAATCTGTTGATTAACATAAATAAACAGAGGCCGTTAAATATTATCAATTAATCAAGTAACAGAAAGTATTGTGATATAAATTTCTGTAACCTATAAAAAAAAAAAAAAGTAAAGATCCCTTTTCACGCCTTTCGGCGCATCGGGCATATGGGCAGAGCGTCCCATATTTTTACAGACCATCAGCACTCTGTGGGTAATGTGGTCAGCATTACGCCGGCTGTCTTTACTTTCCCAGGACAGCCAATCTTGGTACCCATTTTAGGCTGGGTCGACCTGCGACGTCCCCATACCACGACAAAAATCCATGCAGCCTGCATGGGTTTCGATCGCGGTATGCTGGCTTACGAGTCGGACTCACAACGCCTTAGCCACGGACGCCGCCTTCTGTAACCTATGGTTCCATTTAAATGGGTTGAAATGAATTATGTCTGTATTCCATAGTTGTAGATTTCAAGCTGTACGATAGACATGGCCAATAAGACACCTTTATTTAGGGGTGCCTAGCTGACCATGTATCTTAGTGCACTTGTATTCATGGTCAGGCGCAGACGCCGTCTGGAGGTGACAGGTTCAATTCCCGGCACGGTAACTATAGCTTTCGATTTTTATGTTGTCTAGTGTGTTCCTCTATCTCTCTACTTCCTTCTAAGAGTGCCGATCACAATACTTTCTGTTACTTTATTAATTCATAATGATTAACATAAGCAGATAACCACTTACCGTCGTCGCATTTATTGCAAGCCTGTCTACAGTTGGTTATCATCCAGCTGGGGTTTTTTCCACACTCCCCGCCGGCAGCCCACTCCTCACACATTGGGTCGTTGTTTTCACAGGCCACTGATGGGAAATAAAGCCAGTCTTACAGGTTATCAAAGAACAACAAATGAAGTGGTTTGGACACCTAACAAGAATGCTCTGGTACTATCTGCCACAGCGAGCCACACTAAGACGCTACAGCGGGTATAGAGCTAGTGGAAGACCTCGGAAAATATAGAGTGATGGCATTAAGAACAGCCTTACAGAAATGAACATCGGTCTTAATAGTGCTTTTGACAGAGCTCATCAACGAACATTACATCTCCCTCCGACACTTCACTGAGGTACAATGTGGAAGAGAAGAAGAACTGATGGGAAGTAAGAATATGGGATATTAGATTCCAATACAAAATAGAGAATATTTTGTCAGTTGTGACGAGAAAAGGAATTCTCAAAAGTTAAAAAAAATCCTATTTTGATATACCCAAGTGAACCATGGACAGTTTGTAGATTCATCATCATCATGTGCCCTGCCAACTGGCGTAGGCGCTCATGCGTCTCCACAGATCACGATCCCTGGTTGCCCGGAACAACTCTCTTGATGATATCCCTCCATGCCATCGTTTCAGCCCATCCAGCATCAACTCTCTTGGTCTGCCTCTACCCTTTTTCCGCTGATCTTCCCAGGTGTCATGATGTTCTTCAATGTCTCTCTTCTCATTATGTGGCAAAAGAACAGTGTCTGTCTCTTTCTTATGGTTGTATATAGAGACCTACTTTTATTAACCTCTTTCAAACAATCGTTGTTAGTTACTCTGCGGCCCAAGGTATTCGTAACATTCGTCTCACAAACCACAAGTCTGTTGCTTTCAAATTCTTCTTAATTTGTTCACTGACATTCACAGATTCGCTGCCATACAGCAGAACAGGTTCTATGAAACATTTAAGCACCCTCTTTGTTAGCAGATTAGTGAAAACCTATTGGAATCTGCAGAGGTGCGGTTTTATAGACGAATGATGATATTAAGCTGAACAGATAAACAGAGTAATGAAGACATCTTGAAAGAAACTGACTCACGAAGAGAACTGATTGCCCATATCCGAAAGAGACAATCTACATTCTTTGGTCATGTGATGATAAAATGAAAACTAGAGTACGTCGTGACAGTGGGAAAGTTGAAGGGAAGGAGAGGCGCAGGATGACCAAGAGAAAAGATTACGGACAGTTTGACATTATGGCATGGAAGATCATCTGTGTCAGAGTTGATTGAAAGTAAACGAAACAGAAAGTTATGGATAGACATGACTACAAACGCCCTACGACATGGACTTTAAGAAAAAGATAAACATGAAGATTCTTATTGACACTGATCAACTCAAACAACATTTCAATTACTTCCTGCGTGACGCCACATCTTTATCAGTCTTCACTTCCTGTAGTCCATGCCGTGTGTCGCTGGTGTTCATGTCTATCCACAACCTTCTGTCTCGTGTACTTTAAAACAGTTTTTTTTTTTAATTTTAGTTTTTCTAACTTTTAACTCCGGTGGAAAGTTGTGTTTTTTCGTCCACTTCTCGACTTCAGTCTTTTTTTTTTTATTTTTTTTTTATTTTTTAATCGATCACCGGCTGTGAATTCCAGTGGAAGGTCACGGTTAATTGTCCGCTTGGACTTTTGGCTTTCACCTGGACCTGATTTTTGCGTGTACAACCGTTTTTCATTTCCCTGCCTCATGGGCTGCTGTACGCCGACTTCGAAGGAAGACGTCAGGCCTATTTCTAGGGTGACTGTGGCCATTGTTTTGCGTGGGTCGAGACGTTGCCTGATTTGTGTGGTGTCCACTTTGTCTCCTTCGCCGCAGGTATTGCCCCCGGAGTACCCCTTTGGGGCAGCCCCCTGTGGAACAGTTAGCCCTCAAGGGAAGGCAGGGGCAGATCATGGGCATTCCCCGCCATCCAAGGAGGCTTCCATGCATGCAGAGCCGGCACATGGCGCTCTGGTTCTGGGCTCACCCAAGGAATCGTCACGTCCTGCACATGCCTGCTTAACCTCACAACCGTATCAGGCCTCGCGCTCGACAGGGGCTGCGCCCTCTGGAAGTCAGCGGGGAGCAGCCCGTGGGTTTTGGACTTTAGTGACCACACAGATAGGTACATTCTTATTTCTTCGCACGTTGGATTTCTTTGACGAGCCGTTAGCCCGACAGAATTTTACATCCTGCATCAGCATATCGTTATCAGTTTTGTCCCAACACTCGGGCGAGTGGGGTCTTTGGCTGTGGACATTCGGTCTTTTTCAGTTCAATACAAATTTTGATGGTCAGATTTTGATCCGTATGATCTAGTTTTGTCGGACATTTAGGCTTAGCCATCCGATGGATGGTTGCTGTTGTGGTGTACCTTTGCGCGGTGACGACGACACGGAGGGTTAACCGAGGATGTACATGAATGGCCAGCCTATGGATGGTTGCTGTTGTGGTGTACCTCAGCGCGGTGACGACGACACTGAGGGCTAACCGAGGATGTACAAGGATGGCCAGCCTATGGATGGTTGCTGTTGTGGTGTACCTCAGCGCGGTGACGACGACACTGAGGGTTAACAGAGGATGTGCAGTGAACAATGTTCTCTTTACTCCGCAGTCTTTTAACCAAGGGTTGTAATTTTGGCTGTATGTTTGGCAAACTTACTCATGTTCCTAATGAGTTTTGATAACATTTTTCACCCAAGCGTTTGGGGGCGGGCTGATGAGAGCCACAAGGACACATCACCTCTGGGGGCCGCCAAACTCCGAGATCCCCTGACAGCTCTGTTTATGCTCATTTGAGACATTATCCGTGGCGCACGACGAGGACGTGCTGCCGGGGTCTTGCGTGAGGTTCCGTATAACCAGGATAGTAAAGGACTGGCGCCCGAGTGACGTACGGAGTATCTCCTTATACACATCATGTTGGACTTAACTTCCCCTCACGCCTGTGACATAAATCACCGCGCCACGACTTCAGTCTTGATCCAGGGCTTGAAATTTCCGTCCACATCCGTTTTACAGATCTGGCGTACTTTTTTTTTTTAAAGCAAACTGTTGATTCCACGCAGATACGCTCCAGCTTCGGAGGGGAAATCCCATACCCCCTTCCTGAAAAAGATCGTACGAGATGCACACCAGACATACCAGAAGACTTGTTAATCAACATAGAACTGGTACTATTAGCCATCGAACGTTGGGGTTCATACTGAGTGGAGGATCTGAGCACCTATGGATATGTCCGGAGTGCAATAATGATAACCCAACTAACTAACTAACTCACTAACTTTCGTATTAATTGTACAATTTCGGCGGACAGAGCTAGAGCTTCTTTTGTTTCTTAGCCCTTTTTTTTCATTCAGTATTTTTTAGCAGCTGCAGAAATGCTATAAGGGCTCCACCCAGCACCGGTGGGGAACAGCTGCCCTAAAGCAAGCCATGCAGGCACTGCTTGATTCTGAAATAGTGGATATGAGCTCTGCAGCCTCTTGTTTTGTCTTTCTTTGTCCGTTGGATATTTTATTTTTCTGTCTCCTCACCACCGTTCCTATAGATAGTTATAATATGTGTTTGTGTGTGATGCGTCTTCTTCGCATACATCGGCTGTCAACTCTGGCGGACAGTTTCCGTTGTTCGTCCACTTGTGTACTTTCGTCTTGATCTAGAAATTGAGTTTTGCGTGCACATCCGCTTTATAGATCTGGCGTATTTGTATGTAGACTGTTGGTTCCTTGCAGCTCAGGAGGATGCACTTCTTCTTCTTCTTTGTTCACCAACTGTAAGCTGCAGTGGAAAGTTCTGGTTGTTCGTCCATTAGGATTTTCGCTTTGGGGCAGGGCCTGAGTTTTGAGTGTACATCCGTTTTCCTGGATTATTTGTGTTCAGCTGGTGGTTCCCTACCTCTCAGGCAGATGCACTCCAACTTCGAAGGAAGATTCTAATTAGTCTTCTGTACGACATGTTTGTTGTGGGATCAGTGGGTCCCTTATTTCTTCTTCAAAATGGAACACTGAAACCCATAAAAGCGAGAGTGGGTTACTTAGACTGAACGGCTGTGGTTCATATTCAATTGAACCCACTGCTACTTACTATTGTCTTCGTCCACGCCTGTCGTGTTGCCGCTGAAACCGATGCCATCAACGTCACACAGTGCGCATGATTTCCGGCAGTTGGTAAACATCCAATCTGCGTTGACAGAGCACTCGCCATCTTTGGCCCACTCGTCGCACTTAGCCTCATGCTCTGGCGCATTCTTGCAGTTCACTGTTGTTGATAAGAGCAGTAAAACAATTAATTTCACTTAATTAATAATGGACATCAAGTCTAGTAGCTATGACTATACAAAAGCCGTCTTCAGTGTTTTCACAAAGAAACTTATACATTTTAAGAAGACCGCCGACTGCCAGATAGAAATTGCTATGGTGAGCCACAAAAAGGAAAACGTGGACAGAAGAAAAGTTTCAAGGACAGACTCTTCCAGCGCCATTGTGGGCTGGAGAGAGCGGTGTTGGAGGGTGCTGTTTCCTGAAAACGAGGCGGAGGCTGACCTCCGAGAGGGTGCATAGAGGGCATTAAAGATGTACTGGCTACGAACGCACATGGGGCTGGAGAAACGGCTAGGGAAAGAGAGACTTTCAGGCGAGTCGTGAAGAGAACGACGTTCTGTAAAGGACCTGCTCATCGATTGATTGACGGGAAAACATTGGGTTCTTTATTAATATCCTACCCCAGATGAGGTCATAGGAAAGTCCAACATTTTAGTGGGTGGTAAGACTGGGTTTCCCGGCTTTCTGATTCTTTTAACGACCCCAAAATATCTGGAACCGGCCCTAACCCTAACCCGCCTACGTCCCGCGAGAGAGTGCAGCCTAGGCCACACGACTGCATGCAGTCTAATACCCCCTGAAATATTGGACTGTCCCATGACCTGTGGATTTTCCCTGTTTGGGGTAGAATAATAATAAATCACCGAAAATTGTTTTGTTTAACCATGTGCTCAGATAGAAACATCACACACAGACTATTTCTCTCTGTCTCCCTTTCTCTCTTTCTTTCTCTTTCTCGCTCTCTTTCTCTCTCTCTCTCTCTCTCTCTCTCTCTCTCTCTCTCTCTCTCACACACACTCACTCACACATACAGTTGTTAGGAAATCAGAGCTCAGAACTTACCTTGCGGCCGTGTAGCCACATCCCCACATAACCCACACGTGGCTCTACAGTTGATCTGCATCCATCGCTGATTGGTGACACAGTCTCCCCTTTCCTTCCACATCTGACACTTTCTGTCCTGGAAGACGTCGCTGCAGACGCCTGGAGATTGTAAGTAAGTAAGTAAAAGTAAAGGACCCTTTCCACACCTTTAGGCGTATAGGGCATATAGGGCTAGACCTATATTTTTATAGACCAATCGGCACAAGATGGGTTATGTGGTCCGCATCACGCCTGCCGCCCCTATTTCCCGGGACTACAACCGGTGCCCACTCAAGGCTGGGTCTACCTGGGAGCCAAGGTAATTTTTGAAAAACGTCCGGCTCCTCCAGGGAGCGAACCCACGACCTTCCGATCTGCGGTTAGCGTCTAGCCGCTTGGCCACGGCAACTCCCACCTGGAGATTGTACACACAAAAATCACGCTTTATCTTTGGTATCTGTATAATAGCACTATCTATCTGGTGCACATAGCACACTGTTATCTTTCGTTGTGTACATATTAACACTTTTTCCCCGTTGTGCACATGATAACTCAGTATCTTTCTTTATGTGCGTATTAACACTTGTTTCCGTTGTGTACATAATAACACTGTAGCTTTCGTTGTGCACATAATAACACTGTAGCTTTCGTTGTGCACATAATAACACTGTAGCTTTCGTTGTGCACATAATAACACTGTAGCTTTCGTTGTGCACATAATAACACTGTATCTTTCGTTGTGTACATAATAACACTGTATCTTTCGTTGTGTACATAATAACACTGTATCTTTCGTTGTGTACATAATAACACTGTATCTTTCGTTGTGTACATAATAACACTGTAGCTTTCGTTGTGTACATAATAACACTGTAGCTTTCGTTGTGCACATAATAACACTGTAGCTTTCGTTGTGCACATAATAACACTGTAGCTTTCGTTGTGTACATAATAACACTGTATCTTTCGTTGTGTACATAATAACACTGTCTCTTTTGGTGTGTACCTAATTACATTGTATTTTCTTTGTGTGCATAATTATCTTCTATTTTTGTGTACATAATGCCACTGTATTTTCTTTATGTACATAATTCCATTGTATTTTCTTTGTGTATATAATTACACTTTATCTTTCTTAGTGTGCATGCTAGCATTTTATCACAATTTGTGTACATAATAGAACCGTATCTTTCGTTGTATATATAAAAGCACTGTAATAACACTTTACCTGATGCACGTAATAACACTTTTTATTTTTGTGTACATAATAATACCATATCTCTCTTTTGCTTACATCATCATCGTCAGTTCTCGTTATGCCTAGTGGCACATGAGGCTTCAGAGAGGACTTTCCATGCTTCCCTGTTCTGCGCAATCTTCAGTGCAGTTTTCCATGTCAAAGATGCCGCACTCAGGTCACTTTCCATCGTTCGTCTCCATGTTGTTTTTGAGCGCCCTTGTTTTCTCTTTCCCTCTGGTGTCCATGTGAGAACTGTTTTGGCAGGTATACCAGGATTCATTCTCATAACGTGGCCAAGCCATATTGTCTAAAGTTTCTCGGTTTGTGACTTGAAGTAGTTGAGTGTTTGAGATTGTATCTGGCCAGAAAATTTTGATAATTCTACGTAGACATGTGTGGTGGAAGGTGGACAGCTTGTGTGCATATTTTTGCTTACATAATAACACTTTATTTTCCTGTATTTTTTTTAACATAATAACACTTTATCTTTCTTATTTATGTAATAGCACTGTATGTCTTGTAAAGCGTGGGAAGTAAAAGCTAACCACCCAACCACCCTCCCCCACCCCCACCCCCAGACACACACAAAACGTGCACAAACATCAGGGAATTCCCGCTGCCGTCATCTACTATTCAGAATTTACCAACGACAATATACGCACATACCCTTGTTGCTAAGGTCAGTGCCACAGACGCCACAAGCTTTGGCGCACTCCTGCTTCATGTAGAGGGGATTCCTCTCACACTCGCCCTGGTTGGCCCAGATGTAGCAGGCCCAGCTGTCGTAGTTGTTGACACAGGCTTCTGGTAGAGGAATAAATGGTATTGATTGGCTTGCGTCTCATGAGACAGGAGATCGTTAAAGGGATAACGTTTGATTTGGTACACTTCAGAACAGGTGGTGACCTAGTAACTTTTGATGGGGGGGGGGGGGGGCTGTCTTATAAGAAAGAATGGGGAGGGATACTGGGAGAGAGATTCTTCTGTCGTCTTCTTCTTCTTCTTCTTCTTCGTCTTCTTCTTCTTCTTCTTCTTCTTCTTCTTCTTCTTCTTCTTCTTCTTCTTCTTCTTCTTCTTCTTCTTCTTCTTCTTCTTCTTCTTCTTCTTCTTCTTCTTCTTCTTCTTCTTCTTCTTCTTCTTCTTCTTAGCGTTAGCCGACTACAAATTCCGACGGAAAGTTCTGGTTGTTTGTATAATTCTTGACTTTAGTCTTGTTCCAAAACCTCAGTGTTGCATGCACATCCATTTAGCAGATCTTAATATCTGAATGCTGACTGTTGATTCCTTAACAGGAATCAGAATCGGAAACATCCGGTTTATGGCTTTAAAATAAGGAAAAAAAATGCGTTCCACTATGCAACAGCATGATATATTTGTGGTCAGGTCAGCAGAAAAGCGAGAAGCAGAACCCTAAAACTCCTTCGACGCCCTCATCATCATTATCATGTGCCCTGCCAACTGGCGTCTTCACAAATCACGATCCCTGGTTGCCTGGAACAGCTCTCTTGATGACATCCCTCCATGCCATCGTTTCAGCCCATCCAGCATCATCTCTCTTGGTCTGCCTCTACCCCTTTTTACACTGATCTTTCCAGTTGTCAGGATGTTCTCCGTTGTCTCTCTTCTCATTATGTGGCCAAAGAACAGTGTTTGTCTCTTTCCTAATTTTGTTTATAGAGATCTACTTTCATTAGCTTCTTTCAAGCAATTGTTGTTAGTCACTCTGGCCGTCCAAGGTATTCGTGACATTCGTCTCAGAAACCACATCTTTGTTGCTTCCAAATTCTTTATAATTTGTTCACTGACATTCCAAGATTCGCTTCCATACAGCAGAATAGGTTCTATGTAACATGTTAGCACCCTCTTTTTAACATCCTAAGCGGCTTAAAAAAGGAGGAAAGGGGGAGGGGGAGACAAAGTAAAGACGATACATAAATGAATGAAAAATCAGCAGTAAACAAAAACTGTAACAGTACCGTTGTTGTTTCTGTTGTTTCTGGCGCAGTCGCTACTTCCGTCCGGACATATACACTTGCAGTTTTGGTCCAGATGTCCGCCCGACCCGCACTCATTCTGGTTGCTGCAGTGACCTGTGTGCAAGAGAAGAATGGGCAGAGTGTCTGCATGAGTTAAAATATAGATTAATTTTATTGCTGTTTTGTTTTAGTTTAGCGGCTTAGGCGCTGCGAGTCCTCTTCTTCTTCTTTGCGTTCGGTTTCGTATGCTCAGATCAGACCATCAGGTGGATTGCCTCTATGAACTTGCATGTCAGCAGCAGGTCCTTCATGGTTCCCCATAGCTTGCTCTGCACACTTTACTCTTGGGGCCAGGTGTCTTTTCGGAGTTGCAGATAGAGTGGGCAGGCAAATAGATGTGTGTGTTATGAGACCTGTCGGTAATTCCAACGTACCGCGATCGAAACCCACTGCTGGCGGCGTGGATTTTTATCAGGGTATGGGGCGTCGCAGGTCGACCTAGCCTAAAATGAGTACCAGGATGGATGTCCTGGGGAAGTAAAGACGGCCGGCGTAATACTGACCACATTACCCATCTAGTGCTGATGGTCTGTAAAAATATGGGCGCTCTTCCCATATATCCGATACGCCTAAAGACGTGTTACTTTGTTGTAGTTTTTGTTTTGTTTTTGTGTTACTGTTGCTGCGTTGCATGTCTGCCTACGGACAACCCAGTAAAACAGATGAACACGCAAAACTGAGGCCTGTGCACAAAGTCCAAACGGACGAACTACCAGTACAGTAGTTTTCAAAGACATACTAGTTACATTGTTCTCCTGTTTTCTCAATGTGTGTCCTATCCAACGCCAGCGTCTTTTCTTTAATATCTTCGTCCACTGGAGCTTGCTTAGTTCTCTCCAAAGCTCTACGTTAGTTATTCTATCATACCATTAATTCCTTCTATTCTGTGCAGGCACCAGTTAATGAATGTCTGTAGTTTATTAGTAATTGCCTTAGTTGTTCTCCCTTTTTCCGCTCCATACAGAAGTATTGTTTTGACATTAGAATTGAACATTTTAAGTTTAGTATTTCTTTTGATTCCTTTTAACCTCCACAAATTCCCTAGTGCTATGAAAGCTCCTCTTGCCTTGTGTATTCTTATTTTAATGTCTCTATCAGTTCCCCCATCTTTATCTACATTACTGTCCTAATAGGTGTACGACTCCACGTCTTGGATGGGGTGCCATTAAGAGAAACCACATTACTATTTGCCTGATTTATTCTCATTATCTGTCTTTCTTTTATGGATTTTCAGACCTCGCTGCTATGATCTGGCATCAAGTATTTGTACATCAAGTTTAATATCTGTACATAACTTACTGGAGCAGTTGTACATCAAGTTGACTATAGGTACAAAACTTATTGGAGCAGTTGTATATTGAGTTAACTGTGTATACATAAGTTACTGGAGCAATTGTAAATCAAGTTTACAAAACGTTCTGGAACAGTTGTTCATCAAGTTTGGTATATGTACATAACTTACTGGAGCAGTTGTACATCAAGTTGACTATGTGTACATCAGTGTATGCTAGTTCCTTCAGGTAAACTCGCCCAATGCTGGCCTCCTTGGACTTGTCGTGGGCGCTGATTGTCTGGGATTTCCCGTCGTGAGAGAATGCCTGCAGACAGAAGATCGTTGTTGTTTTTGTGTGTCTTGTTTAGTATTGCTTCTTATCTGTCTGTCTGTCTGTCTGTCTGTCTGTCTGTCTGTCTGTCTGTCTGTCTAATCTATCTATCTAATCTGTCTGTCTGTCTATCTATCGATCTATCCATCCATTGATTCATCCATCCATCCATCCACCTGTCTGTCTGTCTATCTATCTGTCTGTCTATCTATCTATCTAATATGTCTGTCTGTCACTGTCTGTCTGCCTGTCCATCTATCGATCTATCCATCCATCCATTGATCCATCCATCCGCCTGTCTGTCTGTCTGTCTGTCTGTCTGTCTGTCTGTCTGTCTGTCTGTCTGTCTGTCTGTCTGTCTGTCTGTCTGTCTGTCTGTCTGTCTGTCTGTCTGTCTGTCTGTCTGTCTGTCTGTCTGTCTGTCTGTCTGTCTGTCTGTCCCTGCCTCCGTCCGTTCGTCTGTGAACAACGCCCCTGAGAATGAGTACTTACAGTAATACCGTAGTGCATCACCGAGGAATACTCGTACTTGACATTCATCTGGTTGACCTCTTTGGAAGTATACTTGTTGAACCAGATACGCATGACTGGGTCCACGTTCTCGTAGAGGATTCTGATGTAGTCGTCACGGTCTGGCAACTGGTGTTCATGAACCAAACCCAGGGCATGCCCGATCTCGTGCAGGTACAGACCTTTCTGTGGGCGAGAGGTGCGTTGATTTATGTTAGTATCATGAAAAGATATCAAACCAAACAACAGGTTTAATTTAAACAAGAGAAGATATAAAACAGAACGAAAAGTATATTAGCAAGCTTCACAGTGTAATAAATACAAACAAAACGTGAACGTTGCGGCTGTGGAGCCTTCATCAGCACATACAAATCAAACAATACCACACAAATATACAAAATCACTTAGCTGGTATCTCAAGCAATCGGGTCGATGGTTTCCCAGTAGACTGTCTACACGCGTGGACTAGGGGAATAAATATACCCTGTGGAGTACCAGGGGCCATAACTAGAGGGTCTTAGATAAAATTGTGAGGGCAGTTCAATCCCCTAGGAGATTACATAAAACTGTGATGGCAATTCAGTCCGGAGGGTGTTAAGGTACCCAGAGTGTAAATAAAGCGATTCTCAAGATTCATAAGTTTATTGGGCTGGTTGACCTTCAGGGAGGTTACGGGTGTGCCGCTCTGTTGTTTGCCTTATGGGTTGTCTTGGATTTAAGTTTTTTTTTTTCCGAGAAAGAGAATGTCTGTGACATAGGTTTTATCACTCTCTAAAGGGGTTTTGTGTTAGACACAGCGATGTTTTTGGAGTGTTAAAAGCGCCGTTGTGTCGAAAAATACAACAATATCTCAACGGCAGAAGTTAGCAAGGCTGAAGGTCAACCAATCAGAAGTGAGCGAATGTGTAACACTGTGTATATAGGGAGACTAACATTTGTTGTACCAAAGTTTAATTAGTTAGCTTTATAGTATTACAAAAGACAAGTTAACGTTGCTGCTATAATGCTTCCATTAGCACATTGCTGGAATAGACACAATCGCAAATACACAAAATCACTAAACTGAAGTATTTGCGAAAGAAATCCACATGTCTCGCTCGAGTGTGAACACCGGAAATAAATACTAGCCTAACCGCGCACCAGTGCCTCTGCAGTGTCAGAATCACATCTTTTTGTTTACAAAAGTTCAGGGCGGAGGTAAAATACATTGTTCTGGCACCAGGGCTGCCCTGGTAAAACAGGCAGCCGTGTTTTATCGCTGTGGAATTTGTACTTGAATTATAAAGGATTCGCTTCTTTGCTTCATTTATGTAACTGTTACTGTAGTATGCACCTGACGAGATACAGCGAAATAGGCCTGCAATAAATCGTGCAATCTTTTGTTTGTGTCATCTGTATGTACATTTACATCCGGGAAACTACGCTTTGACAACAAAGAATGTTTAAAGAACTTACGTAACGACAGCCCGGAGCTTGCAGGTTGAGGCTTTGGACGCCGCCGACCATTCCCAATTGAGAGTTACACCTGTTGGTGACCAGAATGAGACGTGTAAGTATGAGATGTGTGGGTTATGAGACCTGTCGGTAATGAGACATGTGAGTAATGAGACGTGCAGGCAAGTAGATGTGTTGGTTATGAGACGTGTGGGTAATGAGACGTGTGGGTAATGAGACGTGCAGGCAAATAGATGTGTGGGTAATGAGACGTGTGGGTAATGAGACGTGTTGGTAATGAGACGTGCAGGCAAATAGATGTGTGTGTAATAAGACGTGTGGGTAATGAGACGTGTAGGCAAGTAGATGTGTGGGTAATGAGACGTGTGGGTAATGAGACGTGCAGGCAAATAGATGTGTGGGTAATGAGACGTGCAAGCAAATAGATGTGTGGGTAATGAGACGTGCAGGCAAATAGATGTGTGGGTTATGAGACGTGTGGGTAATGAGACGTGCAGGCAAGTAGACGTGTGGGTAATGAGACGTGCAGGCAAGTAGACGTGTGGGTTATGAGACGTGCAGGCAAGTAGATGTGTGGGTAATGAGACGTGTGGGTAATGAGACGTGTGGGTAATGAGACGTGTGGGTAATGAGACGTGTGGGTAATGAGACGTGCAGGCAAGTAGACGTGTGGGTAATGAGACGTACAGGCAAGTAGATGTGTGGGTAATGAGACGTGTGGGTAATGAGACGTGTGGGTAATGAGACGAGCAGGCAAACAGATGTGTGGGTTATGAGACGTGTGGGTAATGAGACGTGCAGGCAAATAGATGTGTTGGTTATGAGACGTGTGGGTAATGAGACGTGTGGGTAATGAGACAAGCAGGGAAATAGATGTGTGGGTTGTGAAACGTGTGGGTAATGAGACGTGTGGTTAAAAAGACGTATGGGTAATGAGACGTGTTGGTAATGAGACGTGCAGGCAAATAGATGTGTGTGTAATGAGACGTGTGGGTAATGAGACGTGCAGGCAAGTAGATGTGTGGGTAATGAGACGTATGGGTAATGAGACGTGTAGGTAATGAGACGTGCAGGCAAGTAGATGTGTGGGTAATGAGACGTGTGGGTAATGAGACGTGCAGGCAAATAGATGTGTGTGTAACGAGACGTGTGGGTAATGAGACGTGCAGGCAAGTAGATGTGTGGGTAATGAGACGTATGGGTAATGAGACGTGTGGGTAATGAGACGTGCAGGCAAGTAGATGTGTGGGTAATGAGACGTATGGGTAATGAGACGTGTGGGTAATGAGACGTATAAGCAATCGTACCTGTTTATAGTGAAGCTTGTAACAAAAGGGAGGAAACAATTTTCCCTTTAAACAATAAACTAGAAATGGACTGGAATCTTGAAGTTAGCACTTTTCAGACCTAGCTGCAGATTAAGAGCCTGGGTATTTGTGTGGTCACCGCATGGACGCTTGATTCAAGTCTTAACCAGTGAAGACCGTTATTCTGGTCTTGTGACCGCTGGGGTACGATGGAGAGGACTCCAGACACAAACTGGAGAGACATCTACAAAAACTTACCCGACGCCATTTTGGAACCGGACACTGTTCCGGTCAGTCTTGACCGCGGGTCTGAAACGCATACAGGTGTACCTCTCCCACTCGGTCATTGCTCTTCGGATGAGGTACTCTTCTTTTTTGTCTGTGGACAGACAGGGACATTTGCATTTGTCGGTGAGTGAGTTAGTAATTGGCTGGGCAATTCTTCTTCCTTTCCTCCTCTTCCTTTCCTCCTCATCCTTTTCCTCCTTCTCTTACTCCTCCTCGTTCTTCTTCTTCTTCTTCTTTTTCTTCTTCTTCTTCTTCTTCTTCTTTTTCTTCTTCTTCTTCTTCTTCTTCTTCTTCTTCTTCTTCTTCTTCTTCTTCTTCTTCTTCTTCTTCTTCTTCTTCTTCTTCTTCTTCTTCTTCCTCTTTCTCTTCTTCTTCTTCTCCAGCGATCTACGTTCATGCGCTCAACCCACTATGCTGTATTTTTTTCCCTTGTTCTAGCCGTTGAGTTGGTCGACCGCTGCCATTTATTCCCAGAAACATTTATTGTGGTCACAGTAGGATATACAAATTAAGATGCACTGATCGACACTCATAGAAAGAGAAATAGATGGGAGTAGTTACTAGTGGTTACAAAGCCCTGTAAGTTTCATTGACTGAGAAGTCTCTAAAAACATCAAGAAGCCAACACCTACAGACAATAATGGATGGTATGGCTAGACTTTCTGTGTCTGTGGGTGTGTCTCTGTTTGCCTGTGTATGTATGTATGTGTGCATATGTGTGCGGGATGTGTTTGTGTATGTAATATGTATATATGTATGTATGTATGCGGGTATATATATATATATATATATATATATATATATATATATATATATATATATATATATATATATATATATATATATATATATGTACGTAGATGTTTATGCATGTGTGTCTAAGTGAGTGAGTTGGCGTGTGCATGTTAATGTTTTTCCTGGCATGTGTGCATGCATTTTACCACCGATGCTTTTTTTTTTTTTTTTTTCATAATGTGAATAATAATATAATATAATAACATATGAACATAACATGCTTTTTTGATAAAATACAACGGTTGTGAGAAAGATGGGTGTTTGCTAGGGCCGAATGTAAGACGGGCTACGTGTCCAATGTGTGACCCTTTGAAAATATAGTTCGTTCATTCCTTTGACCCTCTTCGCGCTCACTGGCTGTAAACGTGGTGAAATGTTCTGGTTGTTCGTCCACTGCTGGACTTAAGTCTTGTTCCAGAAGTTTTGATTGCACATTCGTTTTATAGATCTGCCGTATTTGTATGCAGGCTGTTGGTTCCTTGCCGCTCAGTCGGATGCACTCTGAGTTTGAAGGCAACACCCCTAATTATTCGACCATTACGACATGGTTGTTATGGATGTAGTGAATAATCTATACTCTTGTTTTGTCTTTTTTTTTTTTTCCCCGCGCCTTCAGTTTATCCCTGGAACAACACCATAAAAGACTGTCTGTGATAGTTGGGACTCCATGCTCCATTGTGAAACTCAGGCTTGAAGAAAGAAACGCCTTACCGAAATGTCCTTTTGCAAACAGATAGGGCAATTCCGCATTGGTCCACCTCCAGCGAGTGTTTCTAGCCGCCTTCCTCTTAGTTCGGATCCCGCTGCCTTTATAGTCCTCGCTGTAATCGGATGATATGTAGTTAGAGCTTCTGGGGATAGTTGCTCGGATCGACGCTTTCAAGCCCATCTTTGTCATTTCGCTGAGGACAAAAAGCAAATTTATATATATATATGAGCAACCAAGAGGTTTTGAAAGAGGTGGGAGCCTGAAGACAACTAATCACAGACATCAGAAGGAGACAGTCATCATTTTTCGGCCATGTTATGAGAAAAGGGAAAATAGAACATGTGACCACTGGAAAGATCTGTGGAAGGAGGGATAGAGGAAGACAACGAGAGAAGATGCTTGCCAGTCTTGTTCCATGGCATGGAGGTGTGTCAGCACACCAACTGATGCTGCAGGAGATAGCAGATTGTAGACAGGCATGATTGCCCACGCCAGTCGGCAAGGTACCTGATGATGATGATGATATATATATAGGTAATGTGGAGAGGATCATATTTTTAGCACCGGGTTTTATCCCATCTGGCTCAGTCACTCTCCGCAAAAACAGCTAGCCGCCTGCCGAGAGCGCCGCGCAAAGCACAAACTTTGAAGCTCCGGTGACGATCCCGAGGACCTTCGTAAAAATTGCACTCGTGAACTGAAGGGCGCAGCTGTGGAGCGAATGCATGACCTTCAAAACGCAAGGCAAGCGGCCTGACCACTTCGCCACGGAAATTGATCACCACTTAAAATCTACCAGATACTACCTTTTTTTTCAGAAGTTGAAACCCTAACTTAGAGAAAATTTTAAACAGGTTGGAAAACAAACAGATTATACCAACGAAAAAGATTTCCTCAAAACACCTAAACAGACAGACCAAGTCACAATTTTTCACTTACGCAGTGGAATGTCTTTGCACTGGAACCAACAGGGGCATAGCAATAAAGAAAGACCAAAAAACACATGGAGAAGGGAGATGAAGAATGAAGTTAGCGAAAGGGGGAGGACATGGGGAGAGCTGCATGCGATAGCAAAAGATAGAACGACTTGGCATGAGATGGTTGAGGACCTATGCTCCATTGGGGGCTAGAAAAGTAGAGGAAGAAGAAGAAGAAGAAGAAGAAAGAAGGAAGAAGAAGAGGAAGAAGAAGAAGAAAGAAGAAGAGGAAGGAAGAAGGAAGGGGGAAGAAGGGGGAAGAAGAAGTGGACACAGCAGACTCAACAAACACTAATATAAATTAGGTATGAGTCACACAGCTCTCTGCCAATGTCTTTGTGTAGAACAGGCTCCAGAACACGTCTTGCAAGACTGTCCTCTTCTGGCGGAGCAGCAAAGTAGACCTGACAACTAAGCTTTGGGGAAAATCTGAATGTTAAATTGAGAATCGACACTCCCATAAGCGCCCCAGTCCTCGTCTTCAGTAGCAGGCGAAAAGTTTCAGTTCCGATGGTACCAGTAACTGTCTGATTGTTTATCCGTCTCACCTTTCCCTTGAGTGTTGTAACTCCCCTCACAGTGCCATTCTTCTCAGACCGTAATGATCTATTTGTGCCTCTACACTGTTCACTCGCTCCCAAAGGGCATCTTTCTTGTCAGAAACATCTATCTTGTCATTCATCAATTCACCACCACGCTCGTGCAGAACCTGTCAGTCTGCCTGCATCGTTTCCCACCACACCATCATACCCTGAAGAAAATATCCAAAGGAACGCTAACTACCCGGAATCTCTGAAAAGATGCTTGCCGCTCTGCACGGAGTTTGCATATCTCCACCTTTCTCAACAAACTCTGGGAATCCTAAGAGACCTTGAGATGATATCCCAGTTTATGGCGCACGGTGGATGAAGCACAAGACCAGAGATCGCTGAAGAACACCACAGGTAGAAGTGGACCAGGTTGATATACTGAATGCTCTACGAGAAGTGAGACGATGCGGCAGTTCCGTGGAAAGGGTCCTTTAGGCCTTTACTTGTCTTTTACTTCATGAGTAATCTTCTTCTTCGTCTTCTTCTTCATCGTTCGCCCGAGTGTCATAAATTCACTGTGCGTATTTACAGCATAGCTGCGATATGTTTGCGCCTTTCGGTCGATACTTCCGACGTCTTCCGGCATTTATTATCCTGGTTAGGTTAGCCTTCCCGGTACCTCAGGAGTTATTTCAGTGAGATTCTGACGAAGTCTTTGACTGAGGCTAGACCTGCACTGTTCTGTTTTAATTCCTCAGTGAGAGGTACCACGGAGAGTTTTTTTTAGTCCGTCAGTGAGAAGTACCACGGAGAGTTTGTTCTAATCCGTCAATGAGAGGTGCCACGGAGAGTTTGTTCTAATCCGTCAATGAGAGGTACCACGGAGAGTTTGTTTTAGTCCGTAAGTGAGAGGTACCACGGAGAGTTTGTTCTAGTCCCTCAGTGAGAGGTACCACGGAGAGTTTGTTTTAGTCCGTCAGTGAGAGGTATCACGGAGAGTTTGTTTTAGTCCGTCAGTGAGAGGTGCCACGGAGAGTTTGTTTTAGTCCCTCAGTGAGAGGTACCACGGAGAGTTTGTTTTAGTCCGTCAGTGAGAGGTACCACGGAGAGTTTGTTTTAGTCCGTCAGTGAGAGGTACCACGGAGAGTTTGTTTTAGTCCGTCAATGAGAGGTACCACGGAGAGTTTGTTCTAATCCGTCAATGAGAGGTGCCACGGAGAGTTTGTTTTAGTCCGTAAGTGAGAGGTGCCACGGAGAGTTTGTTCTAGTACCTCAGTGAGAGGTACCACGGAGAGTTTGTTTTAGTCCGTCAGTGAGAGGTGCCACGGAGAGTTTGTTTTAGTCCGTCAGTGAGAGGTATCACGGAGAGTTTGTTTTAGTCCGTCAGTGAGAGGTGCCACGGAGAGTTTGTTTTAGTCCGTCAGTGAAAGGTACCACGGAGAGTTTGTTTTAGTCCGTCAGTGAGAGGTATCACGGAGAGTTTGTTTTAGTCCGTCAGTGAGAGGTACCACGGAGAGTTTGTTTTAGTCCGTCAGTGAGAGGTACCACGGAGAGTTTGTTTTAGTCCGTCAGTGAGAGGTACCACGGAGAGTTTGTTTTAGTCCGTAAGTGAGAGGTACCACGGAGAGTTTGTTTTAGTCCGTCAGTGAGAGGTACCACGGAGAGTTTGTTTTAGTCCGTCAGTGAAGAGTCCGTCAGTGAGAGGTACCACGGAGAGTTTGTTTTAGTCCGTAAGTGAGAGGTACCACGGAGAGTTTGTTTTAGTCCGTCAGTGAGAGGTACCACGGAGAGTTTGTTTTAGTCCATCAGTGAGAGGTACCACGGAGAGTTTGTTCTAATTCATCAGTGAGAGGTCAATGGAGGTTTTGTTCAAGACTGTCCTTGAGGTATCTAAACTGCAGTGAGTTTCTTCAGAAGTATATAATTGAGATTGTCTAGTAGTCTGTGACTGAGATACCTCAAGTGTTATGTAAGTGGTTGCTTGTTTAAGTGTGTCACTGCCGTCGCTTGTGAAATTTGTCACTTAAGGTAAAAAGAAGAATACTTTTGAAGTATCTTCTTTCTTCTTTTTCGTTTCTTGGTGTTCACTGGCTCTAACCTCAGGCGGAAAGTTATGGTTGTTCATCCACTTCTGGACTGCAGTCCTCCTATTCCAGAACCTGAGTGTTGCATGTGCATTTGACAGATCTGACTTTGTATGCAGACTGTTGGTTCCTTGCCTCTCCAGCTAATGCACTCCTACTTCGAAGGAAGCTCCTAATTAGTCGACTCTTACGACATGCTTTTGGGTAGGAGGTGGGTCTATTCTTGCTTTCCCTATAATAGGGCTCCGAAACCCACACGGGGACTTTTGAAGTATGAAATATAAGATAAAATGCTCCCCAGGTGGGTTCTGAGGCCCCATTGTGGGGACATCAAGAATAGACCTACTTTCCCTTCCCAAGAAGTATGTCGTAGGAGTCGACTAATTGGGGACTTCCTTCAAAGTTGCAGTGCATCTGCACGAACGGCAAGAAACAACCAACTGCACACAAATAAGCCAATAAAACTTATATACACGCAAAACTTAACCCCTGGCACAAAGTCAAAGTTTAAATGGACGAACAACCAAGACTTTCAGCCGGAGTTTACAGCCTATGAACAAACAAAGAAAGACATAAAGAAAGAAGAAAGAAAGAAAGAAAGAAAGAAAGAAAGAAAGAAAGAAAGAAAGAAAGAAAGAAAGAAAGAAAGAAAGAAAGAAAGAAAGAAAGAAAGAAAGAAAGAAAGAAAGATTATACAATGCAACTAGAAAGCTTAACGGAGTCAATATAAGAGAGGTGCATGAAATACATCCAAACGTTTCGACCAAAGTCTGTATCAACGAAGTACTAGCTACAACACAAACTGTGACTGGAAGTCTCAACGGACAAGACGGCAAAGCTTAAAAACAGCGAAGCTCAACACGAAACAAAGATTTACAAACGAGAGATGGGAGAGGGGGTAAACGAGAAGAGGCTCTGTGCAGCTTCGTGGGGTCTGTGGGTGGAAGTCTGTGCAACTGTCGTGGAGTGCAGTTCGTTAGAGTCTGTGCAACTGCTCTGTGCAGCTGTCGTGGAAGTCTGTGCAACTGTCGTGGAAGTCTGTGCAACTGTCGTGGAAGTCTGTGCAACAACTGTCATGGAAGTCTGTGCAACAACTGTCATGGAAGTCTGTGCAACAACTGTCATGTCTGTGCAACAAAACTTCATGCAAGTCATGTGGGCAACAAAGTCTGTCATGAAAGTCTGGGCAACAACTGTCATGGAAGTCTGTGCAACAGCTGTCATGGAAGTCTGTGCAACTGTCATGGAAGTCTGTGCAACTGTCATAGAAGTCTGTGCAATTGTCATGGAAGTCTGTGCAACAACTTCATGGAAGTCTGTGCAACAACTGTCATGGAAGTCTGTGCAACAACTGTCATGGAAGTCTGTGCAACAACTGTCATGGAAGTCTGTGCAACAACTGTCATGGAAGTCTGTGCAACAACTGTCATGGAAGTCTGTGCAACAACTGTCATGGAAGTCTGTGCAACTGTCATGGAAGTCTGTGCAACAACTGTCATGGAAGTCTGTGCAACAACATGTGTCATGACTGTGCAACAACTGTCATGGAAGTCTGTGCAACAACTGTCATGGAAGTGGTCAAAGTCTGTGCAACAACTGTCATGCAAACAACTGTCATGGAAGTCTGTGCAACAACTGTCATGGAAGTCTGTGCAACAACTGTCATGGAAGTCTGTGCAACAACTGTCATGGAAGTCTGTGCAACAACTGTCATGGAAGTCTGTGCGACTGTCATGGAAGTCTGTGCAACAACTGTCATGGAAGTCTGTGCAACAACTGTCATGGAAGTCTGTGCAACAGCTGTCATGGAAGTCTGTGCAACAACTGTCATGGAAGTCTGTGCAACTGTCATGGAAGTCTGTGCAACAACTGTCATGGAAGTCTGTGCAACTGTCATGGAAGTCTGTGCAACTGTCATGGAAGTAGCATAGAAAGTATCTCATGAGGTATTTTGTAGTTGCTGGTGAGGTTCATACCTTTGAAGATCTTTTAAAATATCTGAACATCAAAAGAAGATTGTCAAATAAAGAGCATCTTGTCTCCGAAGCTAAACTATTTTGGTCATATCAAGCGCCACGGTGGATTCGAAAAAAAAAATACAGAAGGTATGGTACCAGGAAGAAGAGACAGGGACCGACCAACATGAAGATGGGCACAGGATATACATGACCCCTTGAATATGAAAGTACACGAGGCAGGAGAGTTAGCGAGAGACCGAGTTTATTTAAGGCAGACGTGATGTGAGTGACGTTCTTCCAGGACCTGCTATATGATGATGATGGTTAGGTTCTATGAGATTTGAGGTACCATAGAGATGAGAGGCGACCACAGTTTTTGGGCTAAGAATCTTTTTAAATGCAGATGTGAACACGGTGACTTACTCGGGGTTGGGCGGCTGGTACAGACTGAGGAACTGTTGCTTTGTAAAGGCAGATGGGAGCGTGAATACTTACTCAGGGTTGGGCGGCTGGTACAGACTGAGGAACTGTTGCTTGTCTAGGTACATGTCCAGCTCTGCCAGGATGTGGCTGTCGTCTGCTAGGATCATGTTGCTGGCAACTGTAATGTGATAATAGACAATCACTGTTATGTGACAACCGATAATAACTGTTATATGACAACTCATGGTTAATGTACTGTGACAACCCATTATTACCTTACTGTGAAAACCCATAATCACTGTAATGCTACAACGCATAATTACTGTAATGTGACAGCAAATAGCTACTGCGGTGTGATACAGAACTGTAATGGGACAAGAAATGCTAATAATGTGACAAATTACTTCACTGTCAGGTTACCGCAATGTGTCTAACAGTTGAGGTAATGTGACGATCAGCTGTAACTGTCATATAACAGAGAGATTTTGCCTGTACTATGAAGACTTTCGACCTCCTGATATAAGTTTTCTGACAGAAGGATCGTAGAACAAGACAGAAGATGTTCAGTGTGACAAAAGTTTATAATGTGATAAATTTGCAATATGACAACAGTAACTGTAGGATCCCCGTGTGGGTTACGGTACCCCATTGTGGGGGTAAACAAAAATAGACCTACTGCCTTTACACACAAATACACACACAGAGACACACACACACACATAAAACATTCGGCAACAAAGATTCGAAATTGGAAGCTGTCTTCAAAATCATAGTGCGTCTGTCTTAGCAGCAAGGAACAACCAACTGCATACAAATAAGCCAGTAAAACGCAACACTCAGGTCCTGGCACACAAGTCCAAATGGAACAACCAGGATTTTCTGCCGTAGCTTACAGCCGGTGAGCAAAGAAGTTATTAGGAACTCAATATTTTTAACTAGAGATAGACGAATGAGAAAAACTCAGCTGAATGGGGTTTCATGAACGCCTGGTCTTTTGAATTTCTGGCTTTACTGTAACAGATATTTGTTGGTGAGTGTCGGCAACTTTTTAAATACTTTCTGGAGAGTACAGGCTTCTCCTGTTTTTTAGGGAGGGGGAAAAGCCTGCGGTAAAAGGTCTAAACACAAGCATGAAAGTGTGAAGTGGAGATGTTTGGCACAGGGATGAGAGATGTGTGTGGAGATGTGTGGCACAAGCATGAAAGATGTGTGGCACAAGCATGAAAGATGTGTGGCACAAGCATGAGAGATGTGTGGCACAAGCATGAAAGATGTGTGGCACAAGCATGAAAGATGTGTGGCACAAGCATGAGAGATGTGTGGCACAAGCATGAAAGATGTGTGGCACAAGCATGAAAGATGTGTGGCACAAGCATGAGAGATGTGTGGCACAAGCATGAAAGATGTGTGACACAGGCCTGAGAGATGTGTGGCACAAGCATGAGAGATGTGTGACTCAAGCATGAGAGAACGTGTAGAGATGTGTGACTCAAGCATGAGAGACGTGTGACGCAAGGATGCGAGAACGTGTGTATAGATGTGTGACTCAAGCATGAGAGATGTGTGACGCAAGGATGCGAGAACGTGTGTATAGATGTGTGACTCAAGCATGAGAGATGTGTGACACAAGGATGCGAGAACGTGTGTATAGATGTGTGACTCAAGCATGAGAGATGTGTGACGCAAGGATGCGAGAACGTGTGTATAGATGTGTGACTCAAGCATGAGAGATGTGTGACGCAAGGATGCGAGAACGTGTGTATAGATGTGTGACTCAAGCATGAGAGATGTGTGACACAAGGATGCGAGAACGTGTGTATAGATGTGTGACTCAAGCATGAGAGATGTGTGACGCAAGGATGCGAGAACGTGTGTATAGATGTGTGACTCAAGCATGAGAGATGTGTGACTTAGGCATGAGACAATGTGTGGAGATGTGTGCAACCTACCTCCGAGACCGCCCATGGATCCTATGATGTCTTCTTCTTCTTCTTCTTCTTCTTCTTCTTCTTCTTCTTTTCTTCTTCTTCTTCTTCTTCTTTTTTTCTTCTTCTTCTTTTTCTTTCTTCTTCTTCTTCTTCCTCCTCTTCTTTTCCTCCTCCTTCTTCTTCTTCTTCTTCTCTTCTTCTTCTTCTTCTTCTTCTTCTTCTTCTTCTTCTTCTTGTTTCTTGTTCTTGTTCTTCTTCTTCCTCTTCTTCTTCTTGTTCTTCTTCTTGTTCTTGTTGTTGTTGTTGTTGTTGTTGTTGTTGTTGTTGTTGTTCTTCTTCTTCTTCTTCTTCTTCTTCTTCTTCTTCTTCTTCTTCTTCTTCTTCTTCTTCTTCTTCTTCTTCTTCTTCTTCTGTTTCTTCTTTCTTCTTCTTCTTCTTCTTCTTTCTTCTTCTTCTTCTTCTGTTTCGTTTCTTCCGTTTGCCAAAACGACTGGTTGGCATATTATGTTGTGGTCTTCAACTGTATCAGCACCATTCAGCCCGACACACCCAATTCCAATAAACTAAATTAGTCTGTCTCTGAAATCAGTGTTTCCCAAACTGTGATGTGTCGCGGCGCCTTTTTTTTCATTAAAAATTTTCCACGGCGCCGTAGCCTAAGTAAAAGTATGGCTATTCGTGTCTTGGTTAAATTAATTATGAAGCTTTTACAATATTTCACGGCCCCCATGTGAGGAGGTCGCGGATCCCGGGGGCGCCGCGGTGCACAGTTTGGGAATAACTGTCTTAAATAATTATTATACCTAAAGTTGTCCTTTCTTTATCTGTTCTACCGTTTCTGCCTTTTATATAACCGGGAGCCCGGCTTTCTAGCGTAGTCGGCTAAACCGGATTGCGCGGAGACCGGGTGACGAACTCCTTGTGGTCCAGGTTCAATCCCGGGGGTAGGCAGGAAAGCCACATTTTCTCCCAGATTTACGGTATTTACAATGGAATCAAGGCCGAAAGGTTGCGATATCCATAATACCGAGCCTAAGGGTTAACAACTCATGACTTCTGGATACTCAAACAAACAAACATTAAAACCGGGAATGCTTCTTCTTCGCGCTCACGGCTTCAAACTCCGACAGAAATTTCTGCTTATTCGTCCACTTCTGGACTCTAGCCCGATTTCAAAGCCTGAGTTGTTGCGTGTACATCCGTTTTACAGATCTAGCTAATATGTATGTAGGCTGTTGGTTCCTTGCTTTTCAAGCATATACACTCTGACTTCAAAGGAAGCTCACAATTAGTCGATTCTTACGACATGCTTGTTGGGGGATGGGGACAGTGGGTTTATTTACTTTTTCTCCCACAATGGGACCCGGAAAGTCACGCAGGGCACAATTAATACTGTCATGTCTGCGATGTCTTCTTCTTCTTCTTCGCGTTCACCAGCTGTAAACTCTGGCGGAGGTTCTGGTTGCTCGTCCACTACTGAACTGCAGTCCTGCTCCAGAACCTGAGTGTTGCGTGTGCATCAGTTTTACAGATCTCATTATCTTGAATACAGACTGTTGGTTCCTTGCCTCTCCGGTCTATTCTTGTTTTCCCCACAATGGGGCCCCGGAACCCACGCGGGGGTGTCTGCGATGTATGTTATCATATTTATCTTTTATATTATCATAAGTATTGTGTATACTATCATTTCTGTCTGATGTATTAAAATTTCTATCTTTTAAACGATCATTTCTATCTGTAAAACTACTATTTGTATCTTTGAAACTAACATTTATATTTTTGAAACTGCCATATCTTTCTTTTGTATTATCAATTCTATCGTTTATACTATCATTTCTATCTTTTATACTATCATTTTTATCTTTTATACTATCATTTCTATCTTTTATACTATCATTTATATCTTTTATACTATCATTAATACCTTTTATTCTATAATTTCTGTCTTTCTTTGTTTTTGTTTTTCTAAAAAATGTTTTTATTTCCATTGCAATTTTCTGTCGCTTGTGTATACCAGTTATGATTCTATTTCTGTTGGCCAGGGGGCCGCGCTAGCGCAGTTGATAGGAGACTCGCTTTCACATCCGGCTGCGACTCGCTGCAGCCCACGGCCAGTGTTCGAAACCGGGCGGTTCCCGGGGTTCACCCAGCCCCTAGGAAATGGGTACCAGAGTTAACACTCGGGGTTAAATGGAGTAACGTCGCTGTAGCTACGGAGTTGCGTGCGGACGGCGACACAGGTGGACAGTTTCTTATCAGCTGTCCGTTCTGGGGGCAGAGCACTTATGGTTTTTAACCGTGTGCAATGATGCTTTACTTTCTGTTTGCCTTTCTTTGATTGAGAATGTACCTCAGAAGCCATACTTTCAGTCATCTCATTCTATCTATTAGTTTTATATCAGTGTGAAAGAAGAGATTATATTCACTAGAATTTTATCGGCAGTGTAAACACCGGAATTGGAACTCTCCGCTTGCTGCTGAAAATGGGGACTGAGCACTTATGGAAGTATCCCGAGTGCTGTGGCGTCGATTCTTAATTCAACATTCTACATTCAAATATCGTCAGTGTAACAGTCTCCTAATTCTGGTGAAAGCAACAAGTACAACATGGATGATGGATGATGGATGATGGATGATGGATGATGGATGATGGATGATGGATGATGGATGATGGATGATGGATGATGGATGATGGATGATGGATGATGGATGATGGATGATGGATGATGGAGTAATGCCGAACGAACGGACGAACAGACTTTATTTTCAAGGGTCGCAAACTGGGCACGCAGGCCCGTCTTACATTCGGCCCTTTCAGACACCCGTCTTTCACACAGTAGTTGTATTGTATGAAAAAGCATCTTATATTCATATGATAATATGCATGTTATGAATATCAAGGAAAAAACACAAAAAGCATGGGTGGTAAAATGCATGCACACACTAGCACAGGCATTCACACACATATACACATACACACACACCCACTTAACTAAACACGCATATATGCACACCCACACACATTCACACACACACACAAACCCATTCACCCACATACATACCTACCTACACACACATTTCACAAACATACATACAGATACACACAGACACAACCACTGAAAGAGATGCACACACACACACACACAAACAAACACACATACGCGCAGACACCAACAGCCGTTGGTTTTATACAACATATTTCAACTTACAACACACAGGAGGCTGAAGAAGACAAACGACGCTCCTCTGT